GGCTACAGCTCAGGTCAAGATGTGGCTCAGGGCAGATGGAACTGCACGAGTCTGGGGTCTGTCCGGAAAGAGAAACTGGGGATGGGGATAGGAGTGTGTTTGAGACTAAAAAGAACACGGTATCTGACCACGAAGATCCACTGAAAGGGGTCTGAGAAAGACCAGGGAGGTGCGGGCTAACATTTGATGGACTACGTTCAAGGAAAATCCGCACGGGCCAAGGCAAGTATGTATTTGGCAGATGTTTCCCCAATGTCCCTCTGCTGCAGTTATGGGGGTCCACGTTCCAGTTCCACCAGAAAGAAGGGACTTGTGAGGCAGATGATAATCCCTCTCACGGTTTTTGTAAGGGCTGATGGAGGGATCACTTGCTCTCTTCTCTCCCGCACTGGCTCCCAGCACGTCACATGGAAGTGGAGCTGTGTGACATCCGTGACAGCCAGTACATTCACTCACCCTGTACGGGACACCGCACAATGTGCTGTGGTCTAACACAGACTCTCCTCCCACTTCACAGAAGGGAAAAATTCAAACGATGCCCAACGTCTCAAAACTAGTACAAAGGTTCCCAAGCAACTCCAGCCACTTTCTTACGGACTCGCCAGTGACTCTCCAGTTGAGCCCATCTGTCTGTGACCAAATTTTATTTTATTTTTTTTTCAACGTTTTTTTTATTTATTTTTGGGACAGAGAGAGACAGAGCATGAACAGGGGAGGGGCAGAGAGAGAGGGAGACACAGAATCGGAAGCAGGCTCCAGGCTCCGAGCCATCAGCCCAGAGCCTGACGCGGGGCTCGAACTCACGGACCGCGAGATCGTGACCTGGCTGAAGTCGGACGCTTAACCGACTGCGCCACCCAGGCGCCCCTGGCAGACCAAATTTTAAACGTTACCTTAACGTCACAGGTAGATACCATTCCCAAGTTCACGAGAAGTACTTTCAGCCTCTCCTGTGCTGACAACAGTCACAAAGTGGGGCTAACACAGTTCTTGTCTCCTAACCGAGCACCCAGAGCTAGGGTTTGGACTTTCCGTGCAGGCTCAGCACATTCGTCTCAAGAGACTGCAGGTGCTTCATAAATTACACATGTTCTCTGTCCTTTCTACCTGTTCCGTGTCCCTGGCCAAACCCTGTAATTCCTCAATGAATCTCAACCTGATACTTCTAACACCCAAGGCTGTCTCAATAGGGCAGAAGACTGTATCGGCACCCTATGTACTCAGTGCAGCACACAGGCCTCCACGTTTCTCATTTTGTGTCATAAAATTCTTCGAGTGTTAAGTTCTCTTAGGAAGAAGCTTAGCGTTTGGGGGGAGGGTGGGAAAGGAGAGTTCCCAGGCTGTAAAGGCTCACGGAAAGGGACAGGGTGTTGGCGGTTTCCTAGACTCACCCGGGAGAACGGGAGACGCGCAGGGCACAGGTCACGGAGCTATGTCGGGCTATTTATTGAATACATGTTTTCCATGACGCCCGTCTCTGCAGGGTCTGCAGTCCGTCACCCGGATTCTTACCCCCCCCTCTGCCCGACTCCGGGAAGGTACAGCGCTTGTGCCGTGCAGGGTGAAAACGCATGCGAAGTACTTACACTCCAGTTAGAGCACTCAACAAGTGTCACTTCTGGGTAAACAAAGAAGCACAAATGTTTCAAAAGGTTGGAAAGGCACAAAGACGGACGCGGAGGCGAGGCTTTAGGGTTAGGGGCACGTACCGAGTCCCGTGACGTGCAGGAGCAGGAAAGACTGGGCACCCAAACAGCCGCTGCTCTCCTCTGGCCTGGCCGTTCCTCCTTGAAGGCCGCGGAGGCCCGCAGGACCCGCCGCCCTCCCAGCACGGCCCGGGACCCAACCCGCGGGAAGCGGGAGGGGCCACGCCCGCCCAGGCCGCGAGGTCTGCTGGGAGAGCGTGGACGTCACTTCCGGGATCCCGGGCTCTGACTGGCTGGAACCCTTCGGCGCTTTTGATTGGCCGATCCCAGCACCATCCCAGGGTGCTTTGTGGTAGCAGTTCTTTTCCGCTGGCCGTTCTCCTCCGGAGGAGGTGAGTGTGCTCGGTTCAGGCGCCTTTGGCTGCATCGGGTGGCATCCGCCGCCATCGGTGTAGGGCCGCGTCGGGCGCGGCCGCAGAGGGGCCTCGGGCCCCTGCCGCAGACGGGAGAGGGCCGTGGCCCGGGTTCTGGGGCCGGGCGGGCCGCCGCGTCCTGCCGGAGCCCGGGGCCTGACTCGCTCCCCTCTCCCGCGGCTCCCCAGGCCCGTAGGCAGCAGCCATGGCGCCCAGCCGGAATGGCATGATCCTGAAGCCCCACTTCCACAAGGACTGGCAGCGGCGCGTGGCCACGTGGTTCAACCAGCCGGCGCGGAAGATCCGCAGGTGAGCCGCCGCTGCCGGGTGGGGCCGCGGGGAGCCCACGGTCAGGTGCGCTTGAACCCCTTGGCCCGGTGAGCGCGCGGCCGTCGGGAGCGTGCGCCGGGGCCGGGCCGGGGGCCAGCTGACCGCCGCCCGCCTCTGTCCGCCCAGACGCAAGGCCCGGCAAGCCAAGGCACGCCGCATCGCCCCGCGCCCCGCGTCCGGACCCATCAGGCCCATCGTCAGGTGCCCCACGGTGCGGTATCACACCAAAGTGCGAGCCGGCAGGGGCTTCAGCCTGGAGGAGCTGCGGGTGAGTGCGCCGGGAGGCGCGGGAGGCTCTGCTTGGCGGCCCCCGGTCCGTGATGACATTCTCCGGAATCGCTGCACCTCCTTGATGAGAGCGCTTTTGAACCCTTTTCCATCTGACGGCCGGGCACCAGCGTGGGGGCGCGGGGAGCGGAGGCCCCGGGGTGGGGGTCCTGCATCCGTGTCTGTCTGGGGGCAGGTGGCTGGCATCCACAAGAAGGTGGCGCGGACCATCGGGATCTCCGTGGATCCGAGACGGCGGAACAAGTCCACGGAGTCCCTGCAGGCCAACGTGCAGCGGCTGAAGGAGTACCGCTCCAAGCTGCTCCTGTTCCCGCGGAGGCCGGCAGCCCCCAAGAAGGGGGACAGCTCGGTGAGTGCGCCCTCCCCACCGGGTCAGGGTAATCTCTGCGTCCCCGCAGATAGAGGGACGCGTGTGGGTGGAGAAGGGCAGAGCTCCTGGCGTTTCCCTAGTTGTGCAGAGCACCGTCTGGGTCCCATCTGGGTCGCCGTCAAAGCTGTTGGCTGGAGGCCGGGGGGCTAGGGGTTTATCTTGTTTGCTTTGTAAGTTGGCTCACGTACAAACGCTCCCCCAGCGTCTCCGTGTCTCTGCTCGACGGAACGGGGGTTCAGTGACTTGTCACCCAGGCCTATGTGTGTGCACCCGTAGGTGGGGTCGCCCAGCAAGCGGGGCTGTTGTCCAGGGTTAGAAGCTTGCAGCCTTTGGGGACTTGAGGTGAGCCCGGGTGACTCTTGTCCTTAACCAACAGGCCGAGGAACTCAAGCTGGCCACGCAGCTGACAGGACCGGTCATGCCCATACGGAACGTAAGTGGGCTTTGGGGGGTGAACCAGTGAGTTTTCGGGGCGGAGATTGGGTTGAAGGGTGGCAGCCAGGGCCTGTGTCAAGATATATGGGTTTGTGAAAAAGAAACCTTTTTTGACTTTGGGAGCAACACCCTTCACTCTTAACAGATGGGCTCCTTGAGGGGGGGCCTTGTCTTCATCTTTGGGGACTCATTTGTTGCACCTCCTTCGATTTTGTTTGTTTGTTTGTTTGTTTGTTCCCCTCTTTGCTATTTGAAAGGCCAGGCCACAGGTAATTGCACGTTTGGTGATCCAGGAGGTGACTGGGCCCTTGACTTTCTCTGCCAGGGAGGTGGGCCCGGGCCTCCCTCGGTCCATGTTCTCTGTTGTTGACGGTGACACAACGTCTGTCTCAGCACACCCTCCCCCAACGGTTGTTCGCACAGCTCAGGGGCTCGCTTCTGCCTCTGCTGTGTGTTTGGCGGGGGCATTAAAGTCTGTCTTGGTGTCAGCATAGCCCTTCAGCAGTCGATGGGCAGACAGCGTGCGCCTCCACGGTTTCTGCTGTCCTTACATGCTGGGTTTTGTCTACGGCCTCACTGCAGGCAAGGGTTTGACTCCTGTGCTCCGTTCCAGGTCTACAAGAAAGAGAAGGCCAGAGTCATTACCGAGGAGGAGAAGAACTTCAAGGCGTTTGCCAGTCTTCGCATGGCCCGTGCCCATGCCCGGCTGTTTGGCATCCGGGCCAAAAGGGCCAAAGAAGCTGCAGAACAGGATGTGGAAAAGAAAAAATAAAGCGCCGTTGGCAACTTGAGATATTTGCGGTCTCCGTGTGACAGCGGTCTCCCGTGAGGGGTGGGGCAAGGACGTGGGGATGTGTGCCCTTGCTGAGGAGACCTGGCAGGGGGTGACAGCATCTTTGCGGGGCAGTCCAAAGACCGAACTGCTTTTTTTTGTTTCAGAGAGCACATCCCAAGCAGGCTCTGCGCTGTCAGTGTGGGGCCTGACCCAGGCTCAAACTCCTAAACTTTGGTACTTTTTTTTGCAGAGGTGTTATAAAGGTTCATTGGCTTCATTGTTAATGAGTATTTTCTAGTTACTTGAGTGTTTCAGGGGTCAGACCCTTCCTGGGCCTGTCTGCACTTCTCCTGTGCCCAGTAGCAGCCCCTTCACCCACGTTTGCAAGGCATCCAAGCTTTGGTGCAGAAAGCTGGCCTTTGTCCATCCTGAACACGCGTTCGGGCTACTGAGCCTGTGTGGCAGCCAAGTGTGCCCTCATGGGCAGGCGGCACTGTCCCCAGACCCTTTGTGACAGCATGATGCCCGAGTTCCTTTGAAACCGGAGCTTGGTTTCTCTGCAGGTGGGTACTGAGGTCCAGCCCTGAGCTGGTCCCTCGTCCCAGCAGGGCCCACTCTGGGGACTGGCACTCAGCAAGTTTTGCTTCAGTGCTCCAGCCCTGTGGGTATAGGTGTCCACAAGCCATGAGAGGTGTGTGTTTCTGTGCCCGGCACCTGTGCTGCCACCTGAGTGTGTTTGGAACCAGATTTCAGATAGGTTTTCATCTAACAGATGATTTGGAAGGCACTTTACTCCACACCTGAAGTAAGTTTGTAAGGGGCTGACCTCCATGCTGCTGCACTTGGAGAACCTGTCTCAGGGAAGGGTCAGCTGACGGGTGGGAATTTGAGGCCAAGCTATGTCCTGGACCATCCTGTGGAGAGGGGATATCCTGGTGGCACGGTTTCCACAGCATTTGTGCAGAGAACCCGGTAAGGAGTGGGATTAAGCTACCTGACCGCAGGTGGCTCTACGCTTGGGCTGGACCCCAGGCCTCCAGGAAAGTGCACGGCCGTGGCGTCCACCACCCCAGCACCTGTGATCCAACCTTTGGAGTAAGGGGAAGAGACCTTTGCGTGGCCTTCAGTCACCTCTGGACATCCCCTGTCCCCCTTTTGGCATTGTGCTACCAGAATGAAGGGCCTTTCCTGCCCTCAGGAGCCCCTGGGACAGGCTGGACACCTGAGAAGCCTGGGGTAGGGGGCCCACATGCTAGGACCCTGTTCACTGGGTCCTCTGCAGCAGCCCTCCTCTGGTTCTGTCACAGTTCTGGGTCACCTGAACTAAGCAGCTTCCAAGGGTCACTTAGCGCAGTGCCATGAACTTTCGGTGAGCAGGACCAGCCCCACCCCTGCAGGTAAGCTACTCGAGCCGTCTGGTAAAGCCAGGCGGGAAGTAAGCCAGATCCTAGGACTTGGGGCTCCTGAGCCCCACCAAAGGGGCTTCTGAAGGTGCCGGGCCCAGCTGGTTCTCCCCCCTGCTTGATGCGCTAAACTCCCTGACCTGCAGTTGTGAGGACTTCTTTCCTCTGCAGTCTGGAATGCTCTTGGTGGGTTCGAAGATACTTACATCACCCAGGACTTGGGTGAGTCTGGTACCGGAAGTGATTATGGATTGGACAGCCCAGCTGGTGTCCCCTCCGAGCTGTGGCCCTGTCTGGGGAGCAGGGGGCCCCGGCCCAGCCTTTCCCGAGGCTGAGGAAGGATCCTTGTGAGGTGGAGCTGGGAGCCTGGAGGGCAGGCGGTGCCAACCAGCCTGGAAAGTCTAAGTTCTGCTGGACTGGTGGTGGAACCCTGATGCCTGTGACCTGGTAGCTGGGGAACGACCGGGTGAGAGTGAGCTCATGCGCGTGGTAGGCACCGCAAGGAGGCTGGAAGGACGTCCCCCGCGACTGGTCCCTGTGTGTCCGTCGGCTCCAAGACAGCCCTCGCCACGGCCAGGGTGACGGGGTCCTCTGTCAACTGGCCGTCCCCTGACATTCCGGCTCCTGGAGGGTTTCGCCTGGAGTGTGTGCAGAACTGCCCGGGACAGATGGCTCCTCACTCGGCTGTGTGTCTGGTGGGGCGGCAGAGGCGTGAGGCCACAGAGCAACAAGAAAACGGGGCCTCCGTCCTCTCTCTGGTGAGCAACTGAATTTTTCCAGCAAGCACGGCCTCTGATGAGGTGCCCCAGAGCAGAGAACCGGCTGTGCTCTGCCCTCCCCCGTGTGTGGTTTTAGCCACTGTGTGTGGTCGTTTGATGCGCAGCGTAGGAAACTAACCCTGTACAGGCAGATTCCTTCACCCCTTTCTACACCCGGGTAACGTTCCACCAGCTGGTGCGCTCTGGGACACCTGAGCGGGGGTCCGACACGGAGTTCGGCCCGTCAGGCCGGTCGTGTGTAGGGTGCAAGTGCATTTTGAGGTCAGATTCCCAAAGTGGGTTCACGGGTGTCACAAGCTATGGCCATGGCGGCCCACAGGGGTGCCTGGGCTCCTGCCACCCACCAGATGGCCCGTGTCACATGTGTACCTCTTTGCCAGTTTTCGGATAAGCATTGTTCTGATAGAAGTTGCAAAGGTTTTTTTCTCAAAGTATTACTTGTTTTCTTTTTTTTATTTTTTAAGCAGTTTTTTTTTTTTTTTATACTTATTTTTGAGAGAGAAAGAGCGAGGGTCCTAAGAGGGCTCTGCGCTGACAGCAGTGAGCCTGAAGCGGGACTCAAAGTCACGAGCTGTGAGATCATGACCTGAGCCGAGGTCAGACGTTTAACTGACACCCAGGCGCCCTATCCTGTAGTTGCTTTGTTAAAATATCTACAATTGTGGTGTTTTAAGGAAGAATTAAGATGAACACTAATTTCCACTTGCTTGAAACTGTTGTAATTTAGGGGAAAGACTACAGTTGTTTTAGGTTATTTAGGCTTTTTGCCACTTAACTCAGTTCAAGCCAGAGAGTAGGAGGTAAGTGCACGTGCAAAGGGGTCCGGGTTCTTTTCTCTACTTTTTTTGTGTCTCACACATTACTTTTTATTTACAGATACTTACATTCATCATGTTTTCTTTTATTGTTTCTGGATGTTTGCTTTTTTTTCTTTTCTAAGTTACAGAAAATATGCTCTTTGTTAAAAAAAAAAAAAATCCAGAAAAGAGAAGAGAATAAACCAAAGTGAAGGGTCCCCTGAATCACCCCCACCCTCCAAGCACCTTGAACAGCTTCTGCATCTACCCAGAGTGGTTTCCGTGAGGTTATATTCTGGTATAAACAGCTGGCCCTTTTGTTTTCGTAAGAGCAAATGGCAGGGGTGCCCAGCTGGCACAGCTGGAAGAGCGTGCCACCCTTGATCTCGAGGTTTGTGGGTTCAAGCCCCACATTGGGTGCAAAGATCACTTAAATATTTTTTTGACAGCAAATGGAGTCACACTGTGTGTGCTGCTCCGTATCATTCCAGCTCTCCCACGTCTCTCTCCCTTCACTCCTGTGCCTGTAGAGGACCCCTGAAGGGGTTTTATTTAAACAGGCCTCTATAGGTGAGGAGCCCTGGAATGCTGCTGTTAACTTGCATTTCTTTATTATTTGTGAAGCTGAGCCTCTTCTCATATTTGCTGGCAAATTATCTTTATGTGTGTGTGTGT